GTTCACCATGCCAGTCTATCAAATACTAATTTATTTATTTGTCATTACAGTTGGATGAAGAAGTGGCATATGCACACTTGGAGCAGCTTGGTGTCAAGTTGACAAGACTGAGTGATGATCAAGCTTCCTACCTTGGTATTCCCCAAGATGGCCCATACAAACCAAATCACTACCGTTATTAAATGCCTTGCAACAGTGTTCAATCCCCCCCAAAATACTTTTTTTGTCTGCATAATTTGTGTATGCATGCACAAAATGTTTTTTTTAAAACTATGTAGAATGGAAAATGCATACTCTTAATTGTTGGGTTGGCTTCTGGGAAGGCTTTGCTCTATATAAATACAAAACTTCTATATTTGGAACAAGACAAAAGTAAATATCACTGGGTTCTTAAGATGGCATTTCCTGTACATTGTGGTGAATAAATATTAATTGGACAATAATGTGTAACTGTATGTATGAAAGTTTTATTTGTTGTGAGCCGTTTCTTAGAATTGAAATTATGGTACATACCAATGAACCTAAATGCATTGGAAAGTTTACATTTGCATCTCGAATAAGCGAAAGTTGTTCGGTTCTATTTTCGATTTTGTTCATGGGACAAAATGCATATGTAGATTAATGTCTGGGAGTGGCACTTCTGAACTTTTTACTTGATGAAGTATCAAGGTTTATAATTTTAGATGCAAGTTGGTTCAATAGTAACAAAAACTGAAATAAGTTGACCATTTTGAATGTAGTTGTGATTGCCATCTGTCAGTGACATGGCTCTAAAATAATTTTCAATTTAATCTGAAAAAAAAACCTGCGCCCATGTATAACTGATCAGTGGCTACAACACTAGAAATCTCTCAAATTTACTTTGATACGAGTAATCATTTTCAGCCCTGAAAAAATCAATAATTGCCCATTTCAGTGGGACGCAGATCTAAAATGTGAAATGTGTAGGTGGGCCATTGCACAGGCAACCTCTTTTAGCCAATATATATTTTGTTTTATCCTACCGACACCATAAAAAAACCATGTGAAAATAGTGGGCATTTTTGTCTGATACCTTAAAATACCATAGCCATTTTTGCACATTGTCCCTTTTGGTTTTACATCTCCTGAACATTAGAATATGGAATATTCTTGCAACTTCTTGTATGCGTATTATCTATTATGTCTTTTATGTATTATACTACTTTTATGAAGTACACGAAAGGTATTTTTCTCGTCATCACTAAAAAAATCACACGTGGCTTTTTATGGATTGGGCCATATTGCTGTTGGTACGGATTTATGGTTTATTATAGTATCAGCTATTATGGACATTATTGGCTTTTTATGGTAAAATTAGTTGCACTTAGATTGAATATGGTAATTTACGGCATTTTATATGATACTTGATTGTGTAATGGTATATTATGGCTTTAAATTTTATGGTAATATATGGTGTCAGTTCACTAAACCATGTGTTACTATACCATCAAGATTTCATTAAAATTTGATACACAGGTGCAAATATGTTTAGACTTGCGACATATTTTTGCTTCTAGCTGTCCAGATGTTTTTATTTATTTTTCTTAAGCCAAAATAAATCAGTGGTCAAACTGTAGAAATGTTCATTTCTTTTGATAAACAAATTCTTCTAGTGCCATTAGTCTATAAACAAATGAAGATCATTAACATTTCAAAATGACAGCTGTTTTACCCCATAAAAAGGTTACTACACAGGCAGTACATGTTAATGCCAAATCTGTTGACAGCATTTTGAGTTTCAAAATAAATTCCGAGTTTAACAGAATTTGATTGTTTCATGTAGGTGGTACTTTATATTCTCCCAAATGTCTAGATAAAACCTGAAGCCATATTTTACCATAACATGATATTTTATGCACCAACCATAAAAACCCATATTGTCTGGCTGAATACTTATTCCTTCTGAAACCATAAAGTACCATACCAATAGCCATATAATGCCTTAAGTTCTGCACAATCTGAACGCATAAAATACCATACAATTGATTTTAGACTGGAAATGCCCTAAGCCATACAAAACCATATTTTGGGGGGTAGCATTTTTTTGGACCCCCCAGAATTCAAATTCTCCAGTAGCATAGTTACTTGATAAACCGTGACTTACTCTTTTAGGCAAGTTCACTTTTATCTCTGGTTTCATGATTTATTAACAAAATTCACAGCTGTCATGTTTATCTTAATTAGCATATTTTTGTAACCCTCCTTTAATCGTACAATTTAATTTATGTGTCTGAATTTCATGAAATGAGAAGACAATAATCTATTCTAAATGGAAAATCAAGTTTAGTGTCAATTTGATTACTTAAAATGCAGTAATTGACAATTGAAATTGAGTGAAATTACACAAAAAGTCTTGGCTAGTTAGTGTGAAAAGTATGCTGGTTGGTCAAAACATGTCTATGATGTAGCTCCCAAACAATCAATACATCTTGTCTGGTCCAGTTTTAACAAAATCCACTGATAAACGACCAAGTTCCTGTTTAGAAATGCTTGATTTTGATAAATTTTTAGCACTAAAATCATGTGCCAGTGTTTGTACCACTATGACATCTAATTTAGGTCAGGATTGCACAATCCTTCACCTAAATCTCCTTCACCTAAATTGTGACCTAATAATCTGGGTCTTCATGATTGTATTTGCATATTTAGTGATAAGTTATAGCAAATTACCCATCAGAAATATTTGAATAAAAATAATCTCTAACCACTCGTGCCGTGCCAAATACATTTCCGAACACAATTTTCAAGTCCAATGTCCCGTTTTTCTATAACATGTCGGTATCATTTTGGCTCTAATGTGTACTTCAGAGAGTTGTAATGTCAATTATCAGTATTTCGCTTTCTAAATAATAAGTAACTATGCCACCTCCATACCAATATTGGAACATCTGAAGATGAAGGCATATGTTCGAAGTATCATCTCTGCACTGATTCATCTATGTTACACTGAACCAACACTTCCAATTACGGTACTCTGCTCCAGTATAGACTATTACAAAACAAATGTTGCACATTATCAACCATCAAAGTCTATGTTCACGCTTTATTTGAATCACAAGCTCTGGTGATTCTTCACTCTTCTTATGCAGGTATTTAGAACATAACCACAGTGTCTAATTGCAATCTCTTCTCAATTTTTCAGCTGTATTTAACTACAGGCACGTAGTGTAGCAATAACTTGGTTCCACTGTATCCTCTTTTCATGGCTCTCCTTCACACAATGTCAGTGTCCAAATGACAGTGTCAAAGTTCTCCCCCTTTCCCCAATGTTGCACATTAAGTTATATTTGTAGATTTTTATTTAATATCTATGTATAATTTGCATTTTCAGTAGTAATATTAAGTATCAGTAAATATTTGCAAGTTGGTGAAACGCGTAACATTTCTGTAATAACCAATTTGTACAGTCTTGGATATAAATGGCGAAGCACATCTATACAATTTGGTTATCAAAACCTTCCACAATGCCCACAGGAATACTTCAAATTACACACAATGACACAAAACCTGAATGTTTACCTGAAAAAATTAACAAGATCAGTTAATTGGGATGAAAATTATTAGTATTATATACATGTATTTATGGAAACCTTCAACCCAGATATTTTGTTTATAAATTAAACTTCATAATACATGTGTGACAAAGGCAGAAATTGTCACACTGTGATAGGCTCTGCGGATGTACGCTAAGATATATTGTGGAGGCCAGAATGAGTCACTTCAAAGGTACCCCAAGTTAAAGTTTTACAGGAATGATAATCAAATTTCTGCAAACGTCATGCAATTG